AATGAGCAAACAGAAGCACAGAAAGATGGAATAGTTGATCCCGGAACAAGTCAGAGGCAGAGTCAGGGCCTGGACCCCAAGTCTGTGGCCTCCATCCGTGGGTTCTGAAGGCATGGCTTCCAGCATTGCGGCTGAAAAGTCTAAAGTCACTCTCCCTCCCGTTCCCTCGTATGTCGCCCTCATTTTCCCCTCCTCTGGGAGCTTTTGGCTTTCTCTTTGCTCCCTGTCTTGGGACAATACGGTGCTGTACCTGGATCTGGGTCTCTTTTCATTGGCTGGCGCCAGGTAGACCCTTCCAGTCTGAAGAGGGCTGACTGCATCTCCCCACCGACTTCTGTCCTACTCCAGGACCATATTTTGAACTTAGAAGGCAAGAAATTGGCCTCTTTGTGCTCCAGTCCACAAAGAAATGATGGTTTCCATAGCTAATAGGGGAAGAATGTGAGGAACAAACACACTGATTATTTCTTCCACGTAGTGTCTCAAGCCGGGGGAGGGTCGGCCCAGGGTGGGGGTGGGGGGTGGTTTTTTCTGAGTCTTCTCTCCTTGGCTTGCAGACGGCCGTCTTCTGTCCGGGTCCTTATGTGGTCGTTCCTCTGTGCATAAGAGCTCCTGGTGTCCCCTACGGGTGTCCTGATTTCCTCTTCTTATAAAGACACCAGTCACATTGGCTGAGGTCTCATCCTAATGTCCTCCTTTTAATTTAATCTCCTCTTTCAAGGCCCTATCACCAAATACAGTCACATTCTTAGGTACTAAGGGTTAGGGCTTCGATATATGAATTGTCGGAGGGACACAATTCAGATGGCGTGGTTGATATAGATTAGAAACCCCACAATGTTGGTTTAGTCCAACCACTGGTTCATGGGCCAGGCAACAGCAAATCAGAAAAGAGACACAAGTTGGGAAGGATTCCGCACGGGCCTGTGAGGTAGCTGACAACTCTGATCACCCTGCTTGGGAGGATGCTGTGAAGTCAAGATGTGTCCCAGTCACTTCCATCTCACCATCATCCATCCCATCACACATCTGATGTCGTGCCATGCAAGCTGCAGTTACTCAGAGGATGTTTACTGATATGTCAGGGGAAGGTGCAGAAGGACAGGGCTGTCCCCTATGTCTCCAGAATGACACTGGACCACAACCATTTGTCATCTCTCCCGAGTGCCTTCCTAAACCTCCAAGCTTCCCTCCAATTTTTTTTTCCAGTCCACAAAATGTTATTAGTATAAATGGAGTCAACAAACTGTTATTGGCATAAATGGTGTTACAAATCAAATGATGTCAGGGTCAGGTAGATAAGATAAACAGAGGAAAGAGATGATGATGGGGCATGGTGAGGACTGTGGCTAAGTGGAGACTGACTGCCCTGCCAAAAACACATTTAAATTCAGTGTTTTATGTGCATAGAAAACAAACTGTGGTTCCCAGGGGGAAACCAAGGAAGGGATAGATTAGGAGTTTGGGATTAATAGATACACATTACCATGTATAAACTAGATAAACAATAAGGACTTACTATATAGCACAGGGAACTATATTCAATTTCTTATGAGCTGAAAAAATATATGTGTGTAACTGAATTGTTTGCTGTACACCTGAAACTTACATTATAAATTGATTACACTTCAATAAAAAATAAGAAAAAATAGAAACAAAAATAAGTAAGTTCAATGTGTTTTAAAACACCAGGCAGGCCCAAACAAAACAAGTTTGCCAGTCGAATGCACCCTTCAGGCACTTAGCTTGTGCCCTCCTTTGAGGGTATGGTTAAGTATATGGGTTTTGAAAATGGGCACACAGACCTGGGTTTAAATTTTAGCTTCTTGTCTGCAAAACACTGTGGCGTTTGAAATCATAGAGCTGTTGTGAGGAATATATGAAATAATGCATGGAAACTGCTTGTGCAGGGCCTGGCATATAGTAAGTGCTTAATATATAGTAGCTGTTATTATCATGGTGACTCAGAGAAGAGCAATGGTGATGAATTTTTAAAAATAAAAGTACCCTCCTCGAGCAAATTTATGAGGTCATTCATGCGTGGAGTGGTGGCGCCCCCTCGTGGTCACTATCTAGAACTGCAGAGAAGTGTAGCGGTCCAGACAGAATGGTTAAGAGCCAAATTGGGCTATAAGGTTAGACTATGGATTTGAATCCAGCTCAGATAGATATAAGTAGGTAACACAGGTCATTCACCTCCACTCATACCCTTCATCCCTTTCTCTGAACAATTTTACGATTCCATGGGGTGGTTCTAACAATTTAATGAAACTATATAATAACACTTCGCATGCAAGTGATATTAATAGCCCTTAATTTAAAGTGCTGGCTATGATCTAGATGACACTAGCATGATCCTAGCACTCAGAACACCATTGGCCCCACGTTGCTAATATCGTTCTCTCTTGCGAGAAAGTGAAACTGGTGGGTAATTATTTTTCTTTCACTGGGTCGGGGTGAAAAGGGGTTACTTTGGCTTGGAGCACCTGACCAAAAAAATAGATCCCCTGTGGATACGAGAAATCTCATTAGAGCAAAATATTCCTTTGGATCATGCACTGCTCTTTCCAGACTTCTCTTTTAAAGGCTGACCATTAGTAACAAATGCCCAGATGAGGATGAGTGTATCAGCTGCTTCCCTCTGCGACCAGAGAGGACTGGGAGACACTGTGTGTTGTCATTATCTCCAGCTGGACCCCTGCTCCACACACACGCTCTGCCTCTCTTGCTGTTCTGCCTGGAGAGGTACCTTTCTTCCTTCTCAGAGGCCAGTGGGGAATGAGGAGCCTAGGGTGGGAGATCCTGCCCTCCAGCTGGCTGGGCCCCACCCTCAGCCCTGCCTGGAGATGGAGAACCCGAGGCCAGGCCTGGCCTCAGACTGCAGGGCCTCCCTCTGCCCATCTCAGGGCTGATTTCAGCCTTGTGAGCCCTTGAGCAGAGGACCCGGTTAAAACAGACCAGACTCCTGAACCACAAGAACAGTGAGATGATACACAGGTGGTTGTTTTCAGCCCCTAGGTCTGGGGTAATTTGTTACTCAGCAATAGAAAAATTAATACAATCTATAAGGTTGCCCTAATGGTGGCAGTTAGACAGTGTTTGATTGCTAAAGAAAACTCACAAGACCCCGATGACAACGCCTATAAAGTAAGGTTTATTGCAAGAAAAGAATTTAATATAGCAACAGCCTCACAGTGGAGAGTCATCACAGACAAAGGCTGCCTCACAACGAGGTCCCGAGAGGCTGTAGGTGAGCTCCAACCAGTGTCGGGACACAGGAATATGGACACTGGAGGCGTGGGATAGCAGCAGCCGTATCACTTTTTCAGGCCTGAAGCCTCCGAAGGTCATCATTTGGGCCTACATCTCTTGCAGCACAGCCAGATCCTTTGCGAGTTCATCGGAGATTATGAAAATTCCCATCTGGCCACAAATCCACTTCAATCTGAATCGCACGGCTCGCCGGCCCCACATTCTTTTTGCCCTAGAAGAGTCCTGCCAAGACCTCAAGGCAGTGGTCAGTGATTATTGGCCTTGGCCATGTCCACGAGGTGGTTTTAAGTTCCCCCATGGCACAAGACACCTTAAAAGGATCCTGGACCTGGCAGAGGATGGGACAAACTTGCTAGAGCTGCTGCCGGCCACAGCTGGAAAAAGGACCAGCTAGGCTATGTGCTATGCCTCAGCCACCAGGGGGCGCCTGACTGGGCCCAACCTTAACCTGACTCCGAGGTTCCAATAGGGGCTCAGTAATGAGCTTTCATTCAAACCATCTAAGGTGGTTCTAATGTAGCCATCCTCCTGTCCCCACCCCACACCCCCACTTTACACACACGTGGAGGCATGTGCGCGCGCACCCCCCCACACACACACACAGTCGGTCTACAGACCAGCCAACTGGGCTGGCTGCCCACCCCTGCCCCTTCCCTTGGTGGGTTTTATCCAAACCTCTGCAGAACAACTCCCTCCTCCTCACTCCCACCCCCTCCATCCTTCCTGTGGTCTCTCCAAAACCATCCTTCCTGATAAGCACCCCTGGCTTATTCCAGGGTTTAGAAAATCTTTATCACCCATTTGATTCTCACATGAAGAAGGCAGTGGGACAGGATTTATGGTCTCCCTTTCAAAAGAGGAAACTGAGGCACAGAAAGGGGGAATGACGGGCACACAACAAGTCTGTGGTGACACCAGACCACACCGCAACCTGCCTGAACTCAAGCCTATTGATGCGCGAGGCACCCTCCCCCTCCAGTCATCTCACGGGGTCTGCTGGCTTTGACAGAACCTTAGTGCTCACCCGCAAACAAGTCAACTGCTTGCCAGCCGCTTACTTGCTGTGTGACCTTGGGCAAGTCTCTTCTCCTCTCTGAGCTTCTGTAAAGTATGAGGATGGCCTCTGGGTCCCCCCTCTGACTGAGACATCCTGTGACTGGGGCTTGAATCATCTCTGCCCCCTTGGGGCTTCCGGGGTCTCAATCAAAATGCAAACAGACTTGTGAGAGGACCGATGACAGTACTTCAGGGCAGCAGCAATACGATCCCCAAAGCGGGAAGTCTCCACTTCTCACGGCTCGCTCGCTGCGCGCTGGGCTTTCCATAAGCTTCAACAATGCTAAATTCACTACAACCCCAGGAGGGGGCAGTGTTATTTCCCACATTTTATAGATAAGAAGACTGAGGCTCAGTGACATGAAATAAGTACGCTGAGCAGGACTAGAGCCCAGGGAGGCCTGATCTCAAAAGGTAAGCTCTTCCTCCTGCTATAGGCTGCTCAGGGAATCTTCTGGAAGTCTGCTTTAGAAACTCAGAGTCTACCCTAGAAGCTCTATGGCCTTCTTTGGGTGGACCCTCCAGAACTGAAGCCCTTCAGCTGCTCCTCAGGAGGTATTATGGGAACTTTAAGAGAGAGAGAGCCTGGACCAGCATGACCCGGGTCCCCAGCCTCCTCCTGCAGCCAACCCCTCATCCTGGGCCCACAAGCAGACACCGTAGCTCAGCCGGAGCCTGTGAGCAGATGCAGGTTTATTATTTGCACAGATGGCAGCTTCCTGAACCCTCACCCCAAACACCAGCCCCCAAACAAGGTCCCGGAGTTCTGGCAGCCAAAGGCTTATCCCCAGGCCTGAGCCAGACCAAAATCCTTGAACCACGATCTCAGAGCCGAGGCCTGGAGCCTGTCAGCCCTGAGCAGTGCCCCCAGCCCACCCCCACCCCCCTATTCCCTAGGAGTCCTGAAAAGCCCCCACACAGACAGCGAGCCCCTAGATAATGGGAAAACCCACGGGCTCCTCTCTGCAGAAACGCAGTCCAAGGTTCCAACCTCAAGGCCCCAGTGGTGCTTCAAACAGCAAGTGTGAAGCCAGAGGGAAGGTTCCCAAGTACTGAGGGAGGAAGGGAAAGCTGGCCCCATCAGAAGCAAACTTCAGGTCGAAGAGCTGCCCTCAGGAGGCCAGGTCACAATCCCCCAGTCCCCAAAGAGCAAAGAAACAAAGGTGGGAGGGCAGCTGCTCCCTCCAGCTCTGCTTGGATGCCATCACCTTGTCCTTCCCAGGCTCTGAGGATGGAGGGAGGGAAAACCCTCCCTCCATCCTCCCAGGGACAGAGGCACAGTCCTCAGCCTCCACCCACCCCCAGCAAGCACTGGGACACGGAGAACCAGTGTGGTACCAAACATCTGTAATGGGCTACATGCAAATACCATCTCTGCCAAGCAAGCCGAGGGGCTTGTCACACAGACTGTGCCCAGTGGGAGCCCTGGACTTGCTCCTCCCTCCCTGGGACATGCCTGTTGACTAACAGCCTGTCTTCAGCACCTGCCTGAGAGTCCGCCCTAGCGACATCTGTCTGGGCTTCCATGCTATGCTCCCCTAAGCCTCCAGTGGCTCCTGGGATGGGAAGCGAACAGACCAGTTCACAGGGCATTCTGGGAGCTTCATCTCACCGGCCCCAGGGCTCCTGCAGGACCCCTTCTCACCCTCGGCATCCTGGAAGCCCCACGTGCAACGCCAGCCTTAGGCTCAGGCACACTCAGAAACAGGGCCACCCTAACTGCCCTTAGCCCTTCTTCCCACCCCTCCCCCCTGGCCACCTGGTCAGCGGCTTCCCAGCCTAAGGCCCCAGTTCCTCACATCTCCCCCTCTTCTATTGGTCCAGAAGGGAAGCTGACTGGACCGGTGGGAGGAGACAGGAGCACTGTATCCTGGGAGATTCAAACTGAACATGTCCATTTCCTCTACTGTCATCCAGAATACCTGTAAGCAAGAGACAGAGTGTGGGCAGGTCCGGACTGCGACAGGAGTCCGTGCGCTGTCTGAGCGCGTGTCCTTCGCCGCCCCTCCTGCTCCAGGGATCTCCCCACTCCCTCTGCTTGCCTGGGAGGCCTCAGCCCAGCAGCCAGAGGTTAAAATAAAGCAAGGGAGGGTAGAAAGAAGGGGCTGGGGTTTAATATTAATATCCGGGCTTGGTGACTTCTCTTGAAACACATAAAAGCCCAGGGAGGGGTGACCTAGGGGTGACCTAGGGGTGAGGAGGCAGTGGATGAGGATGAGGGACAGAGTAGATCAGGGAGTCCAAGGGCCTAGGGCTCTGCCTCCAGGGCTTTCCCTGCCGCTGTGCAGAGTTTCCGGAGGGCGCCCAGCACATTCTGCTCCTCTGGGCACCACGGGCCATCTGGCATGGGTGCCATGGGACGCCTCCTTAAACGTCTGTGGTGGGGACGCCAGCTGGACCCCCGGCACCCAGGTCCAGAGTCCAGTCCTCCTCAGCCGCCCTGCCTGGCACTGCAAAAAGATGGGTCCATGCGTCCTCAGCAGGAGCTCCTGGCTCTACAAAGAGACAGCAAAAGGGTCAGGGGAGGGGACGAGGCGGTGGGGAGGGAGGGAGGGTGGGCAGAGGCTGAGCCAGGCTCGAAGCAGGGTTCATACATCAGGCCTGATCTACTGTGGGGGAAGATCTTTCCCCCCCAACACACACCTGCCTCCCCTAGCCCCGCCAAGGCAGCCTTGCCCCTTGGCTCTGACTCAGTGGGATCAGAGACAGTCCCAGGGGCCTCCCCTGGCCCTCACAAGGCACCCTCTGGATGCCGCCTCTGCCTCTTCGCAGGTGCTGTTCCCTTTGCCTGGTACGCTCTTCCCTTCCTTCCTCTTCCCCACTGCCACCTGGCTCACCTCCTTCCGTCCTCCAGGCCGTGAAGTTGGCAGTCCCTGTCACAATCATTCCCACATCCCTTACGAGACACGGACCCCACCGAGCTCAGCGCCCACTCCCAGGGCAGCATCTACCACACTAACACTGGTTATTCACCCGGTGACAGGACAGGGATTTCTTCTCCTTCTCCTCTGGGACTGAGTAGGCACTCCCAGCCCACACTAAGCTAGGATCAAGGAACAGGGGTCTTGGGAGGGCTGGGGGTGGGGCAAGAGGCAAAACTCTGCTAGCATCACCAAGCCCAGGATTACAGTGTGCAGGCTGGTTCTAGCAGAAGGAAAATCTTACTTACCTTGTAGATCTTCACCCTGAGACCAATGAGGGCCACCTTCCTTCAGCCCAGCCCACTTCCTTTTCACAGGACCCTACCCAGCCCCTGAGCTCTAGAGAAAATCAATAGGAGGAACCAACTGACTGACAGCAGGGTCTCAGGAGAAGACTGAGGGAGAGGGTGGAGGGTGAGAGCAAGAGAGAAACGGAGGACAGAGGGAAGATGGGATCCAGCCATCCCAGGGGACCTCAGTGTAGACCTGCGGGGATCTGGGGGGAGGGAGTCAAGAACTATCTTGCCTGACCTTTGAAATGCAAGACTTTTACACAATGAGCCATAAGTCAAAGGTTTACTCTCATGTTCACACCATTTCTTAGGGCAGGAGGGAGTTCCTGCTGTATTCCTATATCCCAACAGAGCAGTTGCTCAGTAAATGGCGGTTAAATGAACGACTGAGTTAGTGAATGAATGAATGAATGAATGAATGAAGCCCCCAGTGCTCACCTGACAGAGATCAGGTGTTCTGTAACTGCTGAGCTAATGAGAGAGGTGTGCATTTGTGTGTGTGTGTGTATGTGTGTTGGGGAGAGGATCTCTCAAATCCACACCCTGGGTCCCTGCCTCTCTTGGGGGCTGGGCCGGAATTAACCACAGGACAGATACCCAGTAGGTAGCAGGCCCTTCCTCCCATCACCCAGGGGCTCGCACCCCCTCCTCCCAGCCGCACCTGGTGGCCGAAGTCAGGTCAGGAGGTGAACGAAGAGGATGGCCAGGCCGATGTTAAGCAGTATCACCATGCAGATGAGGACAGTGTTGGGGACCTGGGAACAGTGGAGAGAGGCTGCCTGAGTCCCCAGGAGAGTACTCCCCACCCCCCCACCCCCCGCTTGCTCACTGCTGTGTTCAGCACGGGGGCAGATCGTCAGAGCTCACAGGATGCTTGGAAATAATTAACCAAATACTCAGGGTCCAGAGAGGGGCAAGAAAGTGTGGGCAGAGTTGGGCCTGGATCCCAAGAACGTGGCTTTCCCCACTCGGAACTCCTCTGGGGCCACACCAGTCCGTCCCTCAGAGCCTAGCTTCAGTGTCTGGCCCTGGAGTTCTAGCTCCCAGCCTCTCAGAACAATTCCCCCACTGGGCCCCTCCTCCACCCCCCAGAAAGCCCTCCTAGACGTTGTAGCAGACGCCACAGGTGCCCAGCCTAGAACCCCTTACCGGCAGGTGCGCCCAGCTGCCCCCTCCCAGCTGCTTAGGATTTCTGGCCTTCTCCTTCTCCAAGGAATTGCCGCGACAGTGGGTACAAGGCCAGCCCCTAGCTCCAAGATGGGGGGCTCTGCTGTGTAACCGTGAATCAGGCTGCACTTGACTGAGTCCACATCCCTGCTGGGGTTCCACCCCTGCCCTTTCCGGTGCCATCACCTCCTCCCCAGTCATCTCCCCGCGCCCGCATCCTCCCCCCAGCTCTCCCACCGCCGGGGAACCTGACCTTCCGCCAACGGCCTCACCTCCTCCACCTCCACCTCGGCCGCCGCTGCGAGCGCTGCCTCCTTCCGAGCCTTCTTCTTGGCCCCGGCCTTGGTCAGCCCTCGGGCCTCTGTCTTGCGGGCTTTTGGCCTTGGGCTCCGCCTTGGGGACGATGGGCTTGGGCTCCAGCTTGGCGGGGCTCTCGGGCGCGGGCTCGGGGCCCCGGGGCGGGGACGCCGTCCCGGGGGCGGCGGCCGGGGATGCGGGCGCGGAGTCGGCCGCGGGGCTCTCGGGCTCGGGCTCGGG